CAGCGGTAGACTTTTCAATTAACTGTAACTTGGAAATTTAACTGTATTACTACACAATGATAAGGTCATTTTGGCAAAAGAAAACAAGATATATTCACTGTGATGGACTGCTTAGCTCAAGCTAATTTCAAACACCTGCTAGCACTTTCCTGTAGCTCACTGTAATGAATGGAAACCAATGACTGCCTGAAAGTACAATAATGTTACATACTTGGGAAATTGTTGTGAGGTAAGAATATATATGAGTAATATTTTAATAAAGGAAAACACAAATTGTAGGGCTAAAATGAGCAAACATGGTTTGGTCCTTTGAGGAAAAGGAGACCCACATGATGTTTTAGTCAAACTAATGTTTTTAAATAATACTGAAAAAAACTGAAATAGCAAACATTGTATACAATCCATTATATGTGCTTTGATAAATATTGCATTTATACTGTAATAATCCCTAGTGTGTATGTGTGCATGCGTGCAGTATAGGAACAGCAGTGGGGCCGCAACATAAACATGAGGAATAGAGATGTTATTTAATACTGTATGTATCAAACTGGCTTGCTTCAGGGAACTAATCACCATAGAAACGGATGTTTGTGCATGTGTCACTGGAAAGAAGAATGTTTTCCAAATGAAACAACTGTAAACACAGGACTGGTGCAGTGAGCACCAGCTCATAGGCTGTTTTCAGCAGCTAGGCGGATCATTTCATTACTTAATACCCAACCAATACGCTCTTAGACTCCCTGTGAAGCTCTCGTAGCCATGGTGACAAAGAACACAGAGATGAGAGGAGCCGCGAGAGGGGAGGAGGAAGACGAAGAAGTAGCTTCCTCTTAGTACGATGGAGTTATTTTTAGTGATGTGTTCAGGGTGCTCGGCCGCCATGACAGCTTAAAGACAAATCTACTCTCACTGTGAGATATCATTTATCTGTGATGCTCAGTGCATCCAGGATTTAACCTGCCTCCTCACTTATTCCCCATTTCTCTACTGGGTTCTATTTCTGCTTTTTCCTAGCTCATGTTTTATACAACAGTCTCCAAATAACACGGCGTGAACAAACATTAGTTATTCTAACAGGAACCATAACAGAACTGGGAGTCTACTTTAATGTGAAGGAGGCTGGTCTATCCATCACCTGAAACCATTACTTTAATGTTGTGTAGTGCATGTTTTCACACATGAACACAAATTGTGCTACACAAATACTTTAGAACATTGCGCACAATTTCCCATAATTACCACACTTTTTAAGATTAATTCCCAATTGTTCCACTGGTTATATTTTTTCAGCTGGGTATGAAAAGATCTGAAAAATGTGGATAGTTTTATTACATTTTTGTGTGTTAATGCCATTGCAAGGCAGAACCATATGTAAAACCCTTTTTGGTGGTGCAGATATGGATGATTCCCACTATTTTAGATTTGGCTGACAAACAGCCACGCATTCCTAAAACCTCAGTGTTGGCAGATACAGCATCCTCTGACACCTCAGAGCTAATGTGAACACACAGACAGGCAAAAAGAGCAGAACGAGCAGGCAAAAGAGTCTTAATTTTACAATATTGGCATACACACACACTCCCTCTTGCATATTTCCAACACACACACACACACTGTGGATCAGACCAAGTTTAATCCTCCATATGTATCCACATTCCATTACAAAGAGACTTCCACACTGTAAACAATCCATGGAGTGGAACAGAAAGATAAACTGGGCAGAGACACTGCGCAGTAATGTTTGGATGCAGCTCCAACTTTTAGACTAATATGGATAGATACAGTGTTTGGCTGCAACTCTTAAGATATGATGATGTAAGAGAACAGAGAGGTGGAGAGGTAGCACAGAGAGAGAGAGCCCCAGCACTGTTGTTGGGCACTGATCTTGGGACTGGCAGAGCCCTCTCCATGGTACTGAACCTAAGGCTGGCATTGGCTACCACGTCACACACTTAAGCGTCTTGTAGAC